CCAGATTCAGCAATCATTGTTCTTGCAGCTTGTTTTAAAGTTCTGTTCCTTCTTTCTGCTACGCCATTCTGTTGAGGGGTTCTGGCGGCAGAGAGTTGATGAAAAGTCCCATTCTGATCACAGAAGTCCTTTATGACTTGGTTGTCAAATTCAGTTCCTCTGTCTGACCTGATTGTCTTCACTTTCAAATTCTTCTCAGTCTGAAGTTGCTTTAACAGAGATGGCAACTTTTGAAGAGTTTCATTCTTCTTTGATAGAAAGATAGTCCATGTATATCTGGAATAGTCATCAACCATGACTAGGGTATATTTCTTGCCACCAACGCTTGGAGTCTCAACAGGTCCAAATAAATCCATGTGAATCAGATTTAGAGGACTTGTAGAAAGATCTCCAGCAATGGGTTTGAAGGAATTCTTCACTTGTTTGCCCTTCTGACATGCACTGCAGAGGGTCTCCTTCTTGTACACAATGTCTGGTAGCCCTTCTACAATGTGTTCTCTGGCCAGTTTGTTGATTGTTTTGAAGTTCAAATGGCTAAGCTTCTTGTGCTAGTCCCAGCTTAGTTTTGAATCTCCCTTAGCTATCAGGCAAACTCCATCCTTTGCTGTGTTCCAATCAACTACATAAATGTTCTTCTTCCTTGATGCTGTCAGAACCTCTTCCTTTGTTGTCTCATGCTTCACATAGCAGAAGTCCTTTGTGAGTTCAACAGTGTAGCCTTTGTCACAGAATTGGCTAGCACTTAGCAAGTTGAACTTCAGTCCTTTGACATAAGAGACATCATCAATGATTATCTGGTTCTTGATCAGCTTTCCTCTTCCTTTTGTTTGACCTTCTTTGTCATTACCTCCAAAGGTAACTCTAGGTCTTTTGCATTTCTGGAACTCTGTTAGGCAACTTCTGTCACCTGTCATGTGCCTGGAGCATCCACTATCAATAAACCATTCTTGTTCAGAGATGGCTCCAGCACACAGTTCCTGCAAGATCAAAAGAAAGATTTAGGTACCCAAGCAATGCTGGGTCCCGGGGGGTCATGGAGTCTGGGTAGTTGGTACCATTTTGGTCTCATCAAGTGAAACCTTGGTGGGTGGTACCCATTGTCCACCTGGTAGTTATAGTAAACTGAAGTGTGATTCACTTTGGGCAGATGCTTGTGAGGGTCATGCTTCCTGTTTACATACTTTTGCATAGCTTTCTTTGTTGGAAAGAAGTCCCATATACTATCAAGAGCAGAGGGACGGTTAACCTTGGGCTTCTGTTAGCCTCAGAGAAGCAAAGGCAGAAGGCCTTCTGTTAACTCGTAGAATAAGTTCTGCTGAACACAGATACCAAGTCCAAGGAGTTATACAGTTCTATCTAAGTGCAAGTATTAAAAGCAGTAAGTAAACGACACCAGGGATTTTTATAGTGGTTCAAGGAACAACTCGTTCCTCTAATCCACTGTTCCACTAAGCTTGTAAAAACGACCGTTTACAACGCCTTAGTCCTAGCACTTAAGAAGCTCTCCACGTCTTCTTCAAGCCTAGATGTCTCCTGGGATGCACTGCCTGGCTTCCTTTAAGACTGGTCCTTTCACTGAGCTTCCCGGAAGTATCACCACTTCACTACTCCAGTTACTTGGACGTCCTTCTTGTAACAAGAAGAGTTTCTGTTGAAACAGGGGTTCCTCCAACTAGCTTCGTTACAAAAGATTTGTAGATGAAGTGCTTGAAGTTGTTGAAGAACTGTTGGAACCTTGCTCTTGTTGAATGATATGAAGTTATATTCTTTCCAACTTGTGTCTCTCTTGTTGAGGATGAAGAGTTTGACTCTCAAGAGGACCTTTTTGCCTTGAATAATTTGAATGTGTTTTTCTTGCAAAGAATGTGGTGAAGTTGGCAAAGTTAGTAGAGCAAAAGTTATCCGGTTGTTCTTCGTAGTGTATCTTTTATACTGAGGGTTGTCTTCCCGTTGGAGGTGAAGGAGGACAACTGCATTTAATGCGCGAGCAGTTGACTTGACCAGTAGGACCCGGCAAAGTTGGCGGGTTACTATTTTGGGATAAAGTAATCCTGACATTGCGGCCAATCATCTGCAATTACTCTACGGAGCATGGGGAGCATTAAATGAGCATTTAATGCTGGCACTGTAGCGTTTCCGTACAAGTCTCCTAGCCGTTTGAAGGAATCTTTCAGTTGACTTCCCGGCTTTATGGAATTCTTCCAAGTGTCAGGCCTTCTGGTGTCTTTAGCAGAGAACTGGTCAGAGAAGGTCTTGAGCACTTCTGTTGATAATAGCGTACAGAGAACCAGGAGGGTTTCTGTCAAAGTAAAGGCTAACAGAGACCCTGAGGTTTTCTGTTCCTCGTCAGAGAGCCAAAGATCTTCTGTCAGGAGGTCTTCTGGTGAGGAGGCCTTCTGGTAGTCGATTATGCTAAGAACTTTACAAAGGAAAATTCTAATACATAATTTCTAAAAGGGGTACTTTAAAGTCCTAATTAATATAGCATCATCAAAATCTAATTACAGATATTCCTTACAATGAGGTATAGGGGCAGGGTAGGGATTAGGATAATAGGAGTATGGGTACACGTACGAGGTGATCGACCCCAAATACTATATTATATATTTGTGTTCATGAATGTTTGTGTGTCTATGTATGTATAGGGTTATTTTGGACATTTTAATGTTAAACGGTGTTTTAAACCTTTTGAAGTAGACATGATCTTATAACATTGCTTATTTTATGCGTCGCTTATTAACGCGAGTCTTAATAAGCACCATTTAGTAACCCGTGAATTAAACGTGTCAGTCTTCTGGATGATCACATAACTGGGTGAAAAAAATGATGAACATGTTTTTAGATTTGAAAATGGAAAACTAGAAAATAGAAACAGAAAACTGGAGATAGAAAAACTGAAAAATAAAAACAGAAAATTGGAGAACGAAAAACAGAAGTAGAAAACAGGAAAATATCTCTGTTAGTAAACATGCCCTAAAATTTCGGAGAAACATATGGGCTAATACTATGTGTTTATTGAAAGACATAGAGGATCGGTTGGATACACAATCATTTTTTCACAAACCCAATACATAATTCCAATTATAGGTTACACACTATATCTAGGAGAACCAGTGAACAATGAAAATATCTAATTCTTTAGTGCAGGTAAAAAACACAATAAGAACTACTAAAATGCTAGCTTATATGTAAGTCGTGGTAAATAGATTAGAGTACACATATTTATTTTTATTTAAGAGCTATGTATAAAAAGATTAAAAACGAATGGCATGTAGCAATAGGTTATTTGAATCAGTTATTGATCTTATGCCTCAATAGGTTATTAATAAAAATAAAAATAGGTATTCCGGAATAAGGAATCAGTAATGGGAAACTCAATGCATTTTGGCTGACACCCCTTCGTAGGTAATTCATTAACTCTCTCTAATTTGAAAGTGTTGGGTGTGTTTCGAAAAACAAAAAAAAATAATTAATAAAATTAATTAATAAAATGACTTAAAGGGAAAATAAGAAATGAGATGAAGCAGAATAAGTCAAAGCTCGTGCTACGCACGATTTCCTTAAAACGTATTCGTTGCCTCCCAGGGTGCTAAGAGCGTTGCAACGATCGTTTCACAGGATACGATGACTTCGAACAATAGTTTAGCACTCAAATTAAAGTTCCAACAAACGTGAACAAAGGCAGAACACCGAAGGAGTTTGTATGGAGTGCTAGAGGTGGTTTTTAGCTATGAAAATATGTGCACGAAGTGTATGAAGTTTGTGTCTTTGCAAAGCACCTACTAGCCTTTTATAGGGGTGTATTATGATGTGTTAATGGTTGTTTAAGGCTTGTGATCGTTGGACATCAATGTCCTAAACATTGGGCATTGATTCCAGCCAATAAACAGCCCAACACGTTCATATGAACGTTGGGACATCAATGGCAGCATATTGGAATTGATTCTCCAAGCAAGCTGTCCAAACCCGTTGCATTCGTGTGTGTAGGTCGCCCGCACACGCAAGTCGCGGTTTTCGTTCTTCGGTTTCGGGATTTGATTCGCAGCCCCATGCGCGCGTGAGAGAGCCTTTCCCTTTAGGATTCTTAACTCCTTAGGGAGGGTTTCCCTTTATAAAGGGTTCAAATTCCCTTGTGATTTTCGGTGTGGGAAAGAACTCACACTAAAACCCACCTTTTCCTAGTTTTCTCCATTCCAACGGGTAAACTTCGAAAAACAATTTCTCATTCACCCGTTATCCGTTTTGAGTGTACCATATATCGAATTGTAGCCCTTAGCAAGGACAATCCGAAATAACTTTGACCCGACCCAAATCAGAAGTGGCCTCCTCTCAAAAAATTGCCCCAAAATGACCATTTAATGCAATTTATTAACCCATTTTCCAACAATGGCAATTCTTTAAAAAGCTTCATTTGGTTCTCCAAGTGCCCCAAAATTTTTGAAAAAAAGCTAAGCCGGTAAGCAAAACCGTAATTCTGAAAAAGCTTTGATGACGCAATGGCGTGGGAGCCACAAACCCGCAGATCAGCATAAAGTTGATCATACTACCTCTGTCCCACTATGTTTGGGACAAAGGAGTGTGACAGAACTTTTAGGAAAAAGTGGAATTGTGTGGTTGAGATTGAATTGATAAAGTGTGAATAAAGTAAGAATGAATTGTAACCACCAAAATGTTACCAAATATGATATGAGACAAACTTAATGGGACAGACGGAAAAGGTAAAAGGGGACAACGGTAGGGGGACGAAGGGACTATAATTTTGGAATACCATTACACACAATCATATATAATTATATTTAAGTAATTTGAAATTCGTGTAGGAACGGCCGTTCCCGAAAAGGTCACAAAATGTGACTTGATCAGACATTGTTGGTATAATGATATCCAAAGGGTGGGGGGTCACCGCCACCCTGCATCGTCGAAATTGAAGTAAATAGCGTAACTCCAATTATTTAATAAATGTCGGTCGTATTTTTTTTTTATCTTAAATGTGGAGAGTGGAGAAAGTGAAAATTGGGTAGGTGGAGAGTGGGTATATGAAGAGATCACTAGATCCACTTCGGCATCTACCTTGTGCAGTTGTGCCCCTTAGCTTCTCCTATCCAGTGGACGGAAAACGATGTGCTCATTGGAGAAGCGAGGAAGCATCTTCATCCTCACATTAACCGGCAACGATGAGCACCGATTACACCCAACCCTCATCGACTCCATCACGTCCGCCGTCCGCCGCGTGCGCTCCGAATCAACAGGGGCCTCCGCCCTGATCACCACCGCGCACGGGAAGTTCTTCAGCAACGGATACGATCTGAAATGGGCTTTGCAGGACGTAGAGAGCCGCGGTAAGATCATGTCATCGAAGCTCCGCCTCCTCGTCGCCGACCTAATCAGTCTCCCCATGCCCACAATCGCCGCCGTCACCGGCCACGCATCCGCTGCCGGATTCATACTCGCGCTCTGCCACGACTACATCCTGATGAGACGGGATCGAGGGGTTCTCTACATGAGTGAGCTCGATATAGGTCTCAAGCTGTCGGCCTGGTTTTTTGCCGTTATCAGATGTAAAATTGGGTCGCCGGCGGCCAGGCGCAGTGTTGCTCTGACAGCGGCAAAGCTGAACGCAGATATGGCGGTCCAGAATGGAATCGTTGATTCAGTGCACAACAGCGCGGAGGAGACTGTAAGAGCTGCTCTGAATTTAGGGGAAGATTTAATGAGAAGAAATTGGGATGGAAAGACATATGGTGATATAAGGAAAACTATGTTTGCTGAAGTATTGGATTCGCTTGGCTCTGATGAGACTGTCGGAGACTATGGCGAAAAAGAAGCCGAGAAGACTATATCCCGGCTATGAGTTAGCCTGTTCATCGTTCCGGCTGAACTGCAACCAAAACCCACCGTACACTCTCGGGTTGTAAGGTATTCACCATAAAACAGAATATTTTATCTTACATGTAATGATATTATTATGTTTAAAGAAACGCGTATTAGATGGCCAGATATAGCATATGAAAGATGCAAATTATACTTCATACTACAACGACGATTAAAATCAAAAGCCTTTTGTGTTGGGTTTTCCCTAGCGAGTTGTCTCGCGTAGGGTTTTTCTTCGCCGCCCTGGTGCGGTGTTTTTCTTTCAATCGACGCAGCTCGATTTGGACGTAGCTCGGAATGAATGATCGTGGCTACGAGAAGATGGTGGAACAAGCGAGAGAGACGTAGGAATGATCGGGAGAGGCTGAATGCTTCATTCGATGGCATGAATTTGTGTCTTACGGAGGGTATGCCGCTGAAAGAGGGTATCAATCGAGGTGCTAGAATTCGTGAACGTTTTTCTTGTAGTTTTTATCTGTTTGTTATTTGTTTTCTTGCGTCCATTTTTGTTGTTGAGTTTGACAGTTTGTTGCCTCTCTTTGTGTCATTGGGTATGGTTGGATCTATGAGAATAGTTATGGCTGTGTCAAGCCCACTACATGGTTAGCGTTTCGTGTTGCTCTCTCAGGGGTGACCGTCACAAAGTCTCACCATAGGGTTACAGTGGTAGTTGTTGGAGTTTCAGTTGGTGTCTGTTTTATTTTCTCTTTGCTTGATGTAATGATCATGAATCTTTTGATATGAATAGAGGCATGTTTTGATGATAAAAAAAAAGAAACGCGTATTAGTATTAAATCACTGTATTGGTAGTACGAATACAAGAAGTCTGCATTGAGTATCATGATCTACATAGAATATATATACTCTACCTGCACGGGTAGCTCAGTTGGTCGAGTGGTGGGAAAATTGGACCAAATGACCAAGGTTCGAAATCCGCAGCGGCCGTGTGGAGGTTACAGAACCTGAAATAAGGCTGGACCTCTGGTGCGCACGTGTATAAGGCCTACCGACGTTTTGTTGACTGAGTCACCGTGATTAACCTCCCCACCATCCTGTCGGGTCGGGGTGGGGGGGGGGGGGGCTTGGGGTTGGGCATTCAACCTTTTGGACCAAGAATATATATACTACGTAGTATAAATGAAATTATTCATTTAACTACATCATAAAAATATTAGAAATTGCCCTAAACAAGAGTAAAAACGCTTTGAACTTCCAAAATAGAAGTATCATGTTTTATTTTCCTTGAATAGGACTAATCTGGCAAGTTTGAAAAAAATGTCATATTTAAAAGCCTAGTAATGCCAAACTTGTCAGAAATTTACTCCTATTTAGGGAATAAAAAAACATGATAGTCGTATTTTAGAATTTCAAAACTTTTTTACTCCTATTTGAGAATTTACTCTAAAAATATTTATGTGCTAGTTTTATAATTTAATACTACTACTCATTTCGTTTTAATTATATATACTCATTAGGTATCAGATTAAATATCCGATTGAATCATGTACATGTTCTTTGTTGAGAAAAGGTACAAATATACCCTTGTAGTATGGGTGTGAGAATGAATATACTCATTTTCTACTTTTCGGAACAAATATACCATTGAAGTATATGTTGAGGTGCATATATATTCCTGAACTATTTAAATGTGTAAAATACCCCGCGTATTCATATAAAAGAGCAAATTTATCCTTATTGGTTTTAAATTAATAAATAAATTTCAAAAACCACCAATTTTTTTTATAAATTTGAAATTTAAAAATAAAAAATTTTAAAAATGTGTTTGTGTCCAATTCTTCCTTTTATTGTTTGTATATCACAATTAAATATTGTTAGTATAAAACTAGTAATCTCACCCGTGCGATGCACGTCATGAGATTTTGTTTTTTAAATTTATTTATGCTAAACAATTCAAGACACTCTATTCATTGATGACACTATGCAATGCCATGCAATAAAGATATACATCAACGCAACACACAAAACACACTTATAATATTATGGCGAAAATGAGATTACAAAACATGACTCAAAAGTTCAAAACCGTCACACTAATACGTTGAAACCATGACGTTGTAAATAACCATTTAAAGCAAATCTAAACATTGTTGAAAACTTCTTTTGAATACTACATTTTGAGTCTTGTTAGTGGTTCCCTCATCTTCATCAACAATCAGAATTTCCAAACCACATCGGTTGGTCACTCTCGAAATTGCAACATACAACTGTCTATGGGTAAATACAGGTTTTTTCAACAACAACCCAACACACGACAATGACTGACCTTGACTTTTATTTATAGTCATAGCATATGAAATCATAACAGGATATTGGCGCCGATGAAATTTGAAAGGCAAGCTGGTATCTGATGGTGTCAAGGACAATCTTGGAATTAAAACTTTTTGTCCGACGCTCACACCAGTTAAAATCTTCCCCTCCAAAACATGATCACCAAGCCTCATTAGAATAAGACGTGTTTCATTACACAATCCCATTGAATGATCTATATTTCGCAAAAGTATCATCGGGTTCCCTACCTTTAATGTCAATTCATGATTCATCACACCAGACAATTTGATACTATTTAAGAACTCAGGTGTGTGCAACTCCGCCATAAAATCGCTCGTGGAATCCACCTTAGAAACAATGTCTGAACTAAGATATGTCTTTGAAACTTCGCCAACATTAAGTGCCGTCATATAGTCCTTAACAGCTTCAACAACAGCTAGCGTCGGTGCCAATATTGCACGATCCCGCAAACAACTGATATCACTTGCAGATTCAACATATTCCGAAAATATGCTTTCTACAATCGTAGCTATAGGATCTCCATCTGTACGTATCAATAGATCTTTAGGAATAGTAATACGAACATTGCCATCATTCATTTCACCAGCAACACTGTCACCAATGCTGGCAATCCAATCCGAAAATAGCTTCAAATCGTAAGAATATGATGGATTAGTCACGTTCTGCTGGCGCATATTTTTTGTCAGGCGGAGCACTGTGCATTCTGACCAAAGATATGATGAATTAATGGTAGCATTCACGACATCTTGTCTACTCCCTTGTGGTATCACCGGCAACACCTGCCAAAAATCCCCACCAAAAACCATTATCTTCCCCCATATGGAAGAGCACCGCAATTTGGTTTATGGAACTGCATTATGTCCCTCATACTCCGGTCCAATGCCTCAAAACAAAACCTATGTAACATTGGAGCTTCGTCCCATATAATCAACTTACACCGTACAATGAGCCTGGCCAGCAGACTTCCTTGTTTAATATGACACGTCGAGTCTTCATTTAGACTTATCGGTATTGCAAATCGAGAGTGAGTCGTACGTCCACCCGGCAAAAGAAGAGATGTGATACCACTCGATGCAACATTAAGAACAATCTCCCCTTTAGACCTAATGGCAGCAGAAAGGGTCTTGCACACAAATGTCTTTCCTGAACCTCCGTACCCATAAACAAAATATATACCACCGACCTCTTCATCTACAGACCGCATTATCGTATCATACACTTGCAGTTGCTCATCAGTAAGAGATTTGAACAACGTTGAATGTTCCTCTTTCATTGCAGTTTGATCATAGCGCAATTCTTCAAATATAAGTCTGTCATTAGAAGATAAGAGCAAATCAAGAACCACTGTAGGCATCGGAGGGTAATCGTGCAAACTTTTTCCACGGGTTTGTAACAACCTTTCTATTTCTTGCAAAGCAAACTTCTCCAATCGATCGTCTGAAAGAATTAGATCTGGAATATGAAATAGAGTTAAATAACAGTTAAAGTTGAAAGTAACGGGTACAAAAGAATCACATCGTAAGTATATAATATATTGAAATAATAAATGGTCATTAGTCAATCACAACCTGGATGTTGTAATTTTCGCCTACGCATATATTGTATGTCATCAGCCATGAAAGACCAACATTTTCCCCAAACGTACTCGATCCTAGCCATTGACTCTGTCCATAACAATATTACAAATAGAATCCTAAAACAGCAGGCAGATGAGAAATGGCTCGCCTCAATAAAAGCATCAATGAATTCTTTATCATCGTCGAGCAAGCCCAACGCATAGCATGCATCACGAAAAGAATCATAAATGACACAATTTAAGGTTCTCAAATCCTAATGACTTGTTGCACCACGAATGTGATTCAAAAGACATCGAATGTAATAAGATTCACCGCTGCCACGATGGACATAGTAAACTCTACCAATAACGAATGCTTGTTTTCTGGGAGCCCATTCTCTTGTCTTTTTTTTTTCAAACAAACTTTTGAGGAAACTCTGCATACGTCAAAAGTCTTGCTTCCGGGTACTTCTTATTGGCCTCCATCCATGCCGTGAACATACTATCCTTCACAGAAGATGCACGAACCACTGAATCTAGTGGTTGATCATCGCGAAAAACAACACTCTGTTCTTCCGGTAAATGGAAGCTTAGATGTTCAACTGGCGGGGTCTTATATTGAATTTCAAACCCAAATATGCGCCAAGCAGCCTCACACAAAGATATGTACCTACAGTCATAGTACATTTGTATCTCATCAACTGGCTTTTGTACTGCATCACCATCAACTGTCTGGTAAAACCCTGCCGTAACTCGATCACGACCTTTATTTATGTACTTAAACAAATATTTGATTGACCTTGATTGATTACACCACTCTACGTTCATATGGGCTCGATATTTCATCAATAAATAACGGGTGTGGGGAACAACAAACCTATTGTCCAAATCAACCTTATTCTTTGTTATTCTGCGGCCATCACTTCTCCTCCTATACATTGGATAACCGTTGTCGTCCAATGGCGTCTCTGCACACCATTTCTTAGGAAAGTGTTTGGTACATTTACCGTCAACCATGCAAGGTGCGGACTTTGCAGCATTACCGCAAGGGCCATGCATCATAAAATCCCTCACAACAACATAATACAGCGGGTCAATGTTTATATCTGAAATTTCAGCAGATATTACTCTGTCTATATCAATAGGTGAGGGCAATTTATCCTCGTTCTCTAACCACAACAAAATATGAGCATGAGGCAATCCACGTTTCTGAAACTCAATTGTATAAACAACTGCAAAGTAAACAAATGATGTAAAATAAAATTGAAATTGGGCTAATGTAATAAGGAAATAACTGGAGACAATACCTCCTCGAATGTTTCCAAAGGCTTTATTTTTGCGCAGATCACTAATCAAACCGTCGAGCTTAACCTTGAAAACACGACTTATTATATCGGGACGATCTTCCGCTTTCAAATTCCTCGGATGCAAAAAAACAATCTATCTCAGGCCATCTTGGTTTGCACGTGAAGGTTATGAATAAATCTGGATAACCCGCCCACCTGCAGATGGCCATTGCATCCTGATAATTTTGTATCATATAACGTGATCCTCCGGTAAAGGTAGGAGGCAACACGATTCTCTTACCCTATGTACGCGAATCATTTTCTCCACGTAAAAAAGCATCACTCAAACCCTTATACATCTCACAACGAAGCTGCGTTTGATGGGTCCTAACAAACCTCAACCGTGCGGCCTCAACCAAGGTATAACCGTGAACAATGAATTGCTGAAAAAACCTTTTTGTCCTCAAGATTGATGAATGATTGTCACACCGCTCTTGAAGCCGAAACGCAAGAAACTCCCTGACACTCACTCTTTTTCTACCACCTCCAACAATGTTACCACCCCTGGACAACGGCGTATCCTCACGGTAACCGATTGCTCTGTTAAGGTTGTGTGCAGGAAAGGTCTTGTAAGGAATAATTGTAATTAGATTTTGATGATGCTAGATTAATTAGGACTTTAGAG